TTTTAAATGTTCGTAAATATCATCGATTGCTGGACGAATCTTTTGAAACGAACACTCTAGAGTATGCTTCGTCAACTGACTACGTGTACCCTTCCACGCACATTTAATGTCGAATGCAGGACACGAAACTGTTTGATTGGGACATCGTTTGTCATGGTCCTGGATGTTAGCCCTTTGAATATTTGCTTCATTGCACCGTTTACACCGCACGCAAAGTCTTTCAAGTTGATTTAGTACAATACGAGTCGAAATCGGTCGAAATTCCTCCATGGATGTTTGTGTACGACAAGTTGGGCATGTTGATTGGCGAATGATCCATGGATTAATACATATTTGACAAAATGTATGACCACATGGTGCGCTGACAGGTAATTGAAATGGTTGATAACAAAGGGGGCATTTTAGTTCAGCGTCGATGGAATTCTCATTCATATACTCATAATCATTGAACATATTCGCTTGTGCTCTTGCAGCTGCCATTTACGTTTTGGCACCTCTATTTGATTCTAAAATGTAAAATAATTTTTACTTAATAAAAATAAAATCTCTCTTTCCCTTGATTAGCATGAGTATTACTGAATTTATTCTTCATGTTCTAGTCAGGCAAACAATGAAAATAAACTCATAAAAAAAGGTCAAATGTTAATTACAGTAAAACTATAAAAAGCTCACATTTTTGCGCCTCTAAAATGAGTGAAAGTTTTCGAACGAATATTTTCGTCGACGAAGTTTAACGCGTTTCTAAGCGTTCGTCTTTTAAATTGAGTGTATCCTTAGAGAGAACAATCGAGTCCCGTAGATCTGGGTTATTTGAAGTATAGTTTAAATGAATTCTTATAAGAATTCATCTAAATTATATTTCGAGCAACCTAGATCTCAGGAATACAATTCTTTTTAATTATGCTCGTAATGTAATATTCGGAAGTGATTACATGGTAATACAAGGAGAAATTATAATATTTAAGCGCTAACCACAACATAAATGCAATGAATTTTTGCCGGCGCCACCGATATCATTGTACAGAGTACTAAATTTGCTTGTGTGGGTATAAAAGAGAAAAAACAAAGACAAAAAGACAAAAACAGAAGAAAACAGAAACATAAAAATTTTCAGAATTTGAGAAGCAGTGAATAAACGACAAAGAGAAGAGAAAAAAAAGTTTATACGCGTTTCAAGGAGAGAAAAATGGGAGGGGGAGAAGCAGAAAAGGAAAAGGAGAAACAAAAGAAAGAAAGAAAGAAAGCGGGAAGGATTCTTCATGCCTTCTTAATTTTTTCTTTGTATATAACTACTTTATTCAATAAATGATATACATTCTGATGTTAAATTAGGTTGTTGAGTGAAACCTGGAAAAATAAAAATATGGAACGCTTCACGATTTTGCGTGTCATCCTTGCGCAGGGGCCATGCTAATCTTCTCTGTATCGTTCCAATTTTATTATATGTCCCACCGAAGTGGGACAACTATCAGTCTATCTTATGACTATATATATTGAACCAAGAGGAATAGAAAGAAAATGGTGAATGAGCAGAATGAAAACTACGAGCGATAGGAATGACTGACATCTATCAAAAAATGTTACTCAACTTGTTCTATTTTGTGTTAGTGTTGTGAGGTATGTGATATCTCTATTGATTTATAATATGCTACTGTTTATATTCATAATTGAACATTTAAATGGATCTCAAAAGCATAAGCCTCAGTAGTCCAATGGTGAAGACGCACGACTGAAGATCGCGTCATTCAAGTTCGATTCTTGGCTGAGGCATGTAATAATAATTTCCTTTTTTTTTCGCAATACTACAAAGTTTTTGCGCAATAACAGTTGTTTTATAGTATGTTTGATTATAATTACACAACACAACATGTTTGCATATAAGTGTAATTCAGATCGGAAAACAGAACAAAAATCACACAAATAAATCGTTCGACATGAATTATTTGTCGAATTGATTCCAATCTAATCGATCATAGATTCGTGAAAATTCGTTGTAAGCAACATAGTTGAATAGCAAAACAAAAATTGTTAGCACAATTCCTGTGGAATTAAAATTTATCTAAATTACCATTAATGATGAATATTGTTTGTTTGAAATTTATCTTAAACCCGTGACACATTTAACACTTTTTTTTTCGTTTATACACAAATAATTTATGAAAAGGACAATAACCTGTTCTCTAACTATGATAGAAAGCCAGCAATAAAGGCTTGATCATCTATATTGAATAATCAAGAAACTATTTCGAAACAAAAATACCGATAATATGAAGCTTGTCACTGATCGAGTCTAAACAGAAGAATTCTTATAGGATTTTCAATTAACTTTATTCATGTATGATCAACTTGTCAGGTTTTCGTTGTGTGAAATAAATTTCGTTGCCTATATTCTTCTCTTTAGCAAAGTTTTGTCCATTGTAATAGAAAAGAATTGTTTTCATTCATTGTGACAATCACTTTTGAGAAACCCCTCGATAAAAATGTTAATTTTTTTTGCTTGATGCGATTGACTTGATCATTTTGCCTTCAATTCTCTGTAGGACAAGTTGATGTTGATTGTTTGATGTGACGAGAAGGGGTGTGGGTGTGGGTGCGGAAATGAAAAGCTTATTATCCACACCCACCCACACCCCCATAACGGTCAGACGATATTATGCGTAATGTTAATCAAAGCAGTTCATTTCAAATAAATGTAACTATGATGGATCCACAAGTTTTGTGACTGTTAAATAAAATCGCTATCTTTTGACTTTTTCATAATCAGGTAGAACTTGAGCAAGCTATATTTTACTAATCATTGAACAAGTGATTAATACTTGAGTATAATATCTCATCTTGGGAAGACAACTACAGTAAAGTCAACTTGTTTGTCCTATTTATGAATTTCTCTTCACATATAACGAAAAGTACTGATTGAAATCTCCGTAAAAGAACAATTTGAAGAGAAGATTGTGCTTTTTGTTTGTCTCTTCGATCAATTTGTTCTACAAATGCTTCCAAATGCGATTTCCTTTGTTGAGGAATCATTGTGAATAACAAAAGACAGTTTAAAAAAGTCACATGCTAGAAGAAAAGGCTTAAACATCTTCCAGAAATGAAAAGACAGCTATGATGTTTTTTAATGTTTATTGATCAATAGAATTTATTTAAGCAATCAATTATGTAGTGATCACATTTCTTGAAAAAGAACTGACATCGTCGTGTCATTTCGACGAATCATTTCTTTTTGAATAACTAACAGTTTGCTAAAAACCATGAAGCCTAATCTATTGTACTTAGAAATGTGAGCGATTCTCTTTTATTTCCGTTGATATCTGTAAAAATACTGTGATTATAATATATGTCTTATAATAAATCATAATTACAGGAGAAAAAGAAAACTGGTCTCAAGATCAACATCAATATTCGATTATTAAAAAAATATCAATCAATTTCAGCAAAAAGAATGAAAAAAAAACTAGACTCAACCAGCATAAACTCAATTGTTAGTGAATTTTCTCAGTATAACAACAGTCAATGTATGAACAAAAATGTGTCACAAATCGGCAAAAGTTGATTAAGCTCCACTAGCTTGAGTAGGCCACATTTCGAACATACCATTGTATACTGTAGTCCATCTCTTTTGCTCGTATATGATGCCTTCAAAAATGCGCTTTTGATTGTTCCAAGTCAGCTGGTAATAACATTTATGACCCGTATTGAATTGTGAATTACCAGTTCCTAACTAAACAGAAACAGATGGCTTTGAAGCAATATTCAAACTTTCTGGCTATAAAGTATAGATGACCACAAGAAGTTTCAAACATAAGTGGAGAAGTTAAGAGGAACTTTCTCCTCTTTCACAGAAGAATTTCAGAGGCTTTTTAAAAAATTACCGGAAATTTTTTCTCTAACGTCCATTTTAAAGAAAACTTCTGAATCATATATGGATACATGATGTGGATCTGTAGAATAGATAAAGATTAGAATAGAAGGTCTATCCTCTAGTTTTAGAGAAATTTCTTGGTCATTTTTCGAAAGCTACTTTCCAGTCAAAGATTTTTCCAAAACGTCGCTGGACACAATTTCAAACTTCAAGATTTCCAAACAACAATAAATAGATTTACTTTATATGCTTGAATCATGGTTATCTGCAGCGTATCCTTTGTATAAAATCCGTTCAAGATAAAATCACCAATGCAATCTCTACCATAGCCTTCAAAAGAATTGTCATACGGTTTAAAAATCATCTGGTGTGGAAATGGGCCAAACCACCTCCCATATTGGTAGAAACGGTGTAACCAAGCGCCATTCACAAAAATACTATTTAACGAGTTCTGCACCAAAGGTGGAGATGGAACAAAAGCTACCAAAACGAAAAATATTTCGATTATAATAATACTCAATACAACTTACGTTGATTCATTTTAGACACTCTTGAAGAATCAATGTTGTTTGTTTGGTGCGCATTGTTATTATCTCTTGCGATCGAATGTTCTTTTTTCTGAGATGTCCCACTGTCGTCTTGACCTTTGTCACGCGGAGGTTGCATCGGATAACCTAGGTTTTAATATTGGAATTACTTTTACTATTGAAGCATCTTCAACAAATTGACAATAAGGACTATTGACCAATGGTTTCTCTTTTTAGAGTAAGGCTCAGGGTTACAGTAAAGTGCTTTTTTTATTCAATATACACGTATTCCTTTATTTGTGGTGGAGTCTAATTATATTGAATAGTTATAGTGATCTAGGATGGTGTCGATGTAGATGTGGATATCGAGTGAAAATCCGAGTCGACATTCTGTTCATCCGCACCTGCAAGCCTTCTAAGCATTCTATACCCTATCCAAACTCATAAAATGTACTATTTCTGATAAAGTTCTTGATAGGTTTTCAATATAAAAATCTTTTCATAGTAAAATAAAAAAAGTATCGTGTTTTCAAGGTAAAAACTCGAAGTCGGGAACTATCAATGATGCCGAGGTATTCAAAAAATTTAATTACTAAGTGCATTTCATTCTAAAATAGCCACCATTTACCTGTTGGTAGTTTATCTGTTGCAGGTGATCCAGAATCAGAGTTGTGCAATGGTGAATATTTTTTATCTGTTGGGGATTTGATTTGTATGGGTTTAATGTTTCTAGGTATTGATGCACTGTCTTTTTTCATTGATGAATAGTGTTGAGTTGTTTGTGACTTGATTTTTACCGACGCATCATGATCATCATTTTCCATGAATTTTGATGTTGATAATAAATTTTCAAATGGTGGTTTAACTAATGTAATCGATGATTGTATTTCTTTGAGATGAATAATATGTAATCCATCTGGTAAATTCAGCTGACCCATAACTTTGAAGTAAAATCCAGGCATTAGAATGACTTCTTCTTCTTGATTTTCAAAATAAGAATGTGATCCAATTGGTTTTCCATTGAGACATTCGATGGAAAACAATGTTCGTATACCATGATTACCCAAAAATTGGTCACTCTTAAGAACTTCTAAATTGGATGTACACGAACTAACACCCCACCAAACAAACTTGCGCCCAGTAGCATACATGGATCTCAAATCAACGCCCTTTATGCCACGCCATACTGTCTTAGAACAAGAAGGAATCTTGTAAAGAGCCGTCATAAATAGTTTAAGAAAAGAAAACCATGGTTTAAGTTTCTGTCGATTTTCGTCTCTAAGACCTGAATTAAGGATTTTATACAAACTAGGTTCGATGTCGAACTGCATTGTATATAAGTGAATCGACGCTGACTCATCTCGATTGAGACCGTCTGCTGGATATCTGCAATTCTGTTTAGCTACAAATACATAATCATAGATACCGTCGAAGAAATTGGATACGGAAGACACCGCTTCTTCTAAGGGTACTAGAGGAGTTGCTTCGTAGCCTTTAATGGGCGAGAGGAACTTTGTCAACGGTTCATCACGTAAATCACTATAACGAGAAATCTGATGTTGTCTTTGCAATGGTATCGATTTTTCCATGACGAAAAAATATACGCGACACTCACAATATCTATAGCAAGTCACACTAGATATCAACTAAACAAGCCTTGCCATAAGGTAGACACATTATATGCGTTCTCATTTGCATGAAAAATGATAGAAAAGGAAGAAACGCTTCATTAGTCAAGTATTTCAATCAATAAAATCAAAAGTAACTATTAAAAAGAACATTTATCATCGAAGGAAGAATGATGATGAAAAACATAGACATTTACTTCCTTACAGTCTTTACATTTTTATTTTTCAATCATATTTTTTTAATATTCGTTTCGTAAAACACCAAAAAATAGCAATTTTTTCTTGTTTGTTTCTCACAGTACAGTAATTTAATAAAACTATTTAAAAAGACATATTTTGACAATTATCAATTTTGTCAACATACCTGTTTTCACCATTGAATAGTCTTCGGTTTTCACTCGTTTCTCTCTGAAAGTGATTCATTACGACATTTCGTCGAAATTTAGTAAGTTGAAATATGAAAAATACCTTGGTTTTCTTGATCAGGAGCTTTTGCTAGTACCTGATAACATGTCTTGATTATATCACTTGATTTTTGTTATGGTATGCATTATTTTCAGATACATACTATTCGAAAGAATGTAAATAGACTATAAAGTTTACTAGTATGATGAGTAACTCATTCTTGATGAGTACATTTTTTTCAATCACAAAACAACCTGTATTGTTGATGTCAATTCAGAATTATTTTCAACAAAGTGTTGACAATAGTAGTATACTTTTTGTCGGAATCTAATAAGAATATCTGTGCATAATGTTGTTCGACGAATCTATGGCTATTGTAAAATGAATGTTTATTCTTTTTCCTAATCATTTATGTTGGTACAGAACTGAATTTCATATACAAATGACAATATTTCAATTAGTTCTGTTCTAAGAGTTTGAATTGGAAATTTCAAGATATAAACGAATCATGTTTATTACTTTGTATTTGAAACAGCTTTCTATTTATCACAGAAGAAATTTGATTTTCGACAAACCGAACAAATTAAATGTTCATTTCTCAATGGTGAGCTGCTCAACAGATAACAGTTGGAAATGCTCACGATAGATTCGTCAAGAAATAGATGCTTTTCAATAAAATGAATTGTGAGCTAAGTAGTATCAAAGCCATTTGAACTAGAGAAAGAGTCAGGATATCTAAAGGGTATGGGAGCATTTAAAACCGATAAGTCTAATATGAAAATTAAAGATATTAAGCTGAGCTCCTACGATAATCATTCGACTTTGCTTGAGGGTCTCATTAGGTGACAAGTGTGAGTAAAGAAAAGATCAAAACCCAATACGTATACTCAAGACTACAGACACACATTCATCTTGTTACTTGTATTTGGATGCTGTTTTGAGATGAAGTCGATCTGTTGAAAAATTATTCTCTTGCTTCATATTAGAGTTCACTCCCAGAGATAAACATGGCTATCCTACGTAGTATAGTCGACGTGATCAATTTTAGTTTTTGGTCACGACAATGACGGTCATTCTTTCTAGCTTATCGTGAGTTGAAATCTCTCTCCTTGAATAATGTGTATTGTGATGAACTTTAGACAAAAGCAAAAAGAAAAAAAAACTATTAGATTTTTAATCAAAACAAAGAAAAATAAAAAGATGTAATTTCATTATGTTTTGCACATGTCGTAATGTTTGTGTAACAGGAGAAATTAGAATTCAAGAAAATTAAAAAATTTTCTAGAACAGTCTAAAATCTCATCAGAACCTTATTTTCAATTTTAACTTGTTGTTGACAAGTGTTAAAGTTTTTTAAGTTCTAAGTTCTTCGGTAATATTTATGTCCAGTCGTTTTGATTCAGAAAGATGAATAAATTATCACAATAAGTTAAAAATATGAAATTACATGGTTTGTGCAAAAATTAATGCAATCAACATCAACACATGATATGTGACTATTTTAGTACTCGTGATTGCATGTGGCAAAGTTTCAGTCACGATCAGGGTCACGACTTTTCAAATAATATTTTTACTGTGTTTACAGTAGGCACACCAGGCCTTTGTCTCGCAGTGTCACTCAGGTTCACGTGCTTTATACGTCTCTTTCGTTTTTGACTCGATGGACACGCGTCAAAATTGTGAAGTCATATCTTCGATGTTTTTCTCAACACGAATATAACCATGAGATGGCGCAACAAGTGTTCCGTAAAGGCTCTCAGATAATTTTATTACTATAATAATACAAAGAAATCAAATCAATATATTTTCGTTGAATAAATCATTTGAAAATGAGACAATTAATAAAAATTGAAAAAAATTTTCTACACATTCCCAAATCATTCGATTAAATATTTTTCAACGTGAAGTCACCGTATGCAAATATACAATCATAATCATACTTAAGAGAAATATCACAAGATAATTCTATTAATGCAGTATAATCATCGAATAGACAACATTGATAAGAATCGTGACATAATATAAAAATTTCAAAATAAAATTAAAAAGATATAATATTCATTTACAATTTATTCGTGCAGGTAAGAATCTTTTCAAATTGATAAAACTATTCAGAAATTTTATATAATATATTAATTAATTAAATTTTATCTTTAACTATTTAAAATCACAATTTCAATTGAAAATGAAGATTCAAATATGTTGATACGAATATCTTTTTCTAATGTTTCATTGATGATATTGTGGCTCTCACGTATATTTTTGAAGAAAATAGAAATTAAAGATTTTTGAATATGTTTCCATAGTAGCGGGAAGAGTCGTGTAAGTAATATCAGAGTATAGATCATTCTAGAAGTCTCTAGATGCTAACTAGTCTAAATATAACGAGGCCAGAGTTATAATGCAGCGATCAGATATTTATTAATACTAATTGAATTCTAGTTTTAGACAAAACTCAGCAGCATGTGTCGATATTCTCTGTACTGAGCGGCAATATCATTTTGTGTAGCAAGCTAATGTGATAGTTGAGCCGATGATACGAAAGGTAAAATAATATTAGCTGCTGCTTATAGTATATATATCGTATACATTATCATTTAAAAATAGAAGTTATATATTGAAGATGTATCTGACAATACAAATAAGTTTTTTTACCGTATAACGGTATTAAATGAATCATATGTAAGTTGGTGGACAAGTAGTTATAAATGCTAATAATTTTAATCAAATACATTGATCCTTTTATCGATGGCAAAGAATCTTACGAAGTTTGTTTTTTCCTAAGTGAAATATTGATCAAAAGCTGCTTTGAGTTATTAATATTGGCTGCAATAAGGATATACGGCCGGATCGGAATTATAAAAAAATGATGTACTTTTATAACAATTTGAAATGATAAATTTATAAAGAATTCCTTTTTCAAAAGTAGCTGTTTGAACATACAGTGTATCAGACACTGCCTCCGAACCAAGACAACATCAAATTGTCTGATTGAAGTCAATAGTAATTAATAGGTTAAAGTAATTTGTGTTAATAATTCCATCATAAAAAAAAAAACTTTGAAGGTCCTCTCTATCATCCATAATAAAACTAGTACATTATATTAAAATCGAGTCAACATATTAGACTTGTTTTCGTACATATATTTATGGGCTATCTTGTATTGTGTTGTATACGATTAACTACATACTTGATTACCTTCTTTTCTTTCGGCAAACTCTCGGAATCGTGTGCATGGGTAAATAAATAAAACTTCATGGGAGTCAGCTGACGTATGCACATATCAGTTCTTTAAAGTATAGTATTATTCTATTCTATTGGTGTAGTTGTTTCTTTCTTTCTTTCCTTGATAATCTATTGAGTATATTTTTTTTCGTTGACTCACTTCCCCCTTTCTTTTTTTTCCTTCGTTTTCTATGTCGTTATTTCTTCATATGAAAAGTAACTAATGATAGAATTATGCTCAAAATATACGCAAAAGCTAATGTCGAACATCACCAGTAACACCACTGTATCTGATTGTGTTTTAAAAGATGGATTTATATTGATCTTATACTCATTAACATTCGTTATTGGTGTACTTGGAAATTTATTAGCGTTCAAATTAGTTTTCTTACAAACAAAGAAAGTGGCTAGTCGATCAATAAGTACTACGAATATTTACCTGGCTAATTTAGCATTATCAGACCTGTTATCAGCAACAACTATACCGCTTCAATTTTTATTTTGTTCGCATTATTTACTCGAACAGTTTATAATTGGACCACATCTATGTGTAATATTCAAATCCATACAAGTTCTTACATATAACGTATCAATATTAACAATGGTTGTCATTGCAATAGATCGTTATTATTTGATACATTATCCTCTTGAATCATCGAATAAACGTCTAAAACCAAAGTATTCTCTTTCAGCCGTATGGTTGTTATCAATACTCTTTGCCGGTACATGTCTTATATCAATGAAAGTTTCAGAATATTTTCTATCGTCTCGCCAACTAATTGGATGTCGAATTTTATTTGCCAATGTAATTCCTATATCCAGTCTTTTGTTTCGTAAAATACGAGTTACCATACTGAGTGTTTGTTTCTATTACATTCCATTAATAATAACAG